CAAATTAAAAGCTACTTTTACAGAATGGGAATAGGGAGAAAGGTTGAGAAAGTTTTCATTTTTTAATGTACATATTTGTTTGAATTTTGTTATTAACATTTCTAAATTTTTATCACAATAAAACATTTAAAAAAAATAAGCACCTTTATGATCAGATCAATGAAGTTATAATTTTTTTAAACATGAATTTTAATATGAATAACTCTATGCAGGTAAGAGGTGACTGTTGAAAAAGTTCAGCCAGAAAACTAAAAATAAATTTAGGGCAATTGTAAACCCAATTAACAGTTTCAGTGGTGTACTCATGACTGGATATAATGTGATGTGAGCAAACAAAAGGTAAACAGGGTAAATGAAGTCACTCGTTTTTAGAAAACTACGCTACATAAAACTCTGTGATACTCAGAAAAAATTGTGTTTTCACTTTTGGTATAGTATCACCCCAGGACTTAATCAACTCACGTAAGATGAGAAATCATAAAAATCAAAGTTGGGGGGATGGTGGTTCAGTACTGGGGATTGAACCCAGGTTTCTTCACTGAGCTACATCCCCAGCCATTTTTTGGTTGTTTTTTGTTGTTGCTGTTGTTGTTTTTCAGACAAGGTCTCACCATTAAATCTCTAAATTGCCCAGGTTTGGTTCAAACCTGCAACCTTCCTGCCTCAGCCTCCCAGAGCACTGGGATTATAGGCATGGAGAGCTGAGGTTGTAATTCAGTAATAAAGTGTGTGCTTAGCATGCATGAGGCACTGGATTCAATTCCCAGCACCAAGATAAAATGATCTCAGAGATCATTTAGTGAAATCTCATTTTATAATTTGCACAAACAGGCCTGAAGTGGTGAAGCAATTTGCCAAAGGTCCTCTAGCCAGCTACAGAAGTCAGGTTTATATTCCAGCCCCAGTACTCTTTCTACTTCCTTCAGATCTTCCCAAGTCTTCAGTCTGATGACATAAAATATTTTTCAGTCTTATGAATATTAGCTAACCTACATTTAATTTTAGAATAAAAATACATAACAAATTTTAAAATGTATATGCCTCCATTAGTACAGATGCTGAAAAGCTGACTATCTAGACAAGAAAAGCATTATTTAAGCCAGGAGTGGTGCAGCACTCTTGTAATCCCACCTCTCTGGGAGGCTGAGGCAGGAGAATCATTAAATTCAAGCCCAGACTGGGTGACTTAGTAAGATCCTGTCTCAAAATAAAAATAAGCAGGGGGCAGGGATTTAGCTCAGTGGTTCTGCCACCTGCTTCACAAGTGCAAGGTCCCAAGTTCGGTCCTTGGTACCAAAAATAAATAAATAAAATAAAATAATAAATCAGGCATCTACAACCATACCTGCTGAAGGTACCCATTCTCAAAATAAAAGTTTAAAAGGACAGGGAATGTAGCTCAGTGCAAAGGCCTTAGGTTCAACCTCAGTACAGAAAAACAGGTATAATAATGACATTTCTTGAAAATATGTAAGATTTCTGTGAATCTAACTATATTTTACTGTTCATTTCAGAACGAGTTTTCTATGCCGGGCATGGTGGCATACGCCTGTAATTCCAGCACTCGGGAGGCTGAGGCAGGAGGATCGCTGTAAGTTCAAGACCAGCCTGGGCTACATACTAAGTTCCAGGTCAGTCTGAACTACATAGTGAGACCCTGTCTCAAAAAAACCCCCCGAAAAAAAACCAAACAAACAAAAACGAGTTTTCTCCTGGATTGTAGCTGATCTTCAATTGGCAGTGCCTCTTAACCTTTTACCTTCAATTTGTCTAGATCAAGTAGTTGACGACCTACATATACTTAAAACCACCACAGAAACCACCTATTTAAAGGAAGCCTGCAGTGATTTCAAAAATCCTTTTGTGATATTGGGAAGCCTGCGGTGATTTCAAGAATCCTTTTATGATATTGATAATTATCCCTAGTTTCTTCTGTTTTTTAAGGAATGAGTTCTCTGATCTTTAAAAGCACAGATAGACTAGATAGACACAAAGAGACAGAGCAGTAGAAAGGCAAAATAAAGTTAAAATTAAGCCGGATGCGGGAGCACACTCCTGCAATCCCAGCTACTTGGGGGCTGAGGTAGGATTGCATGTTTTTCTAGGGTTTTGCTTTGTTTTGTTTTGTACCAGGGATCAAACTCAGGACCTTGCGCTTGCAAGGCAGGCTTCGGCACCACTGAGATTGCATGTTTGAGGCCAGCTTGGGCAACACAGTGAAACCTTCATCTCAAAATAAAATTGAATTGAGTAACATTTTTTTTGCATAATTAAGGAAAAAAAGACAAGAAGAATGAAGGGTGGTGGGTGGTCAGGAAGAGGGTAGCAAAGAACCACAAGCTAAATTAGACACAGGGTTTATACTTTAAAAGTAAACTTGAAGGCTGAGGCAGAAGTTTTGCTGTGAGTTCAAAGCCAGCCTGCGCTACATAGTGAGTCCAAGGCCAGGATGAACTACACAGTGAGAACCTGTCTCAAATAATGCAAAAAAATCAAATTAAATTTAAAAATAACATTAAACTTGAACCTCACCCCAGAAAGAAGCAGCTATCAAGAAATCAACCAATAACAAATGCTGGCGGGGCTGTGGAGATAAAGGAACCCTTCTCCATTTGTTGGTGGGAGCACAGACTGGTGCAACCACTGTGGAAATCAATATGGAGATACCTCAAAGAGCTGGGACTAGAGGTTCCATTTGACCCAGCTATTCCCCTACTGCATATCTTAACAAAAGAACCAAAGAATCATACCACAGTGATACATGTACACCCATGTTTATAGTGGCACAGTTTGTAATAGCTAAAACTTGGAAACAGCCTAATTGCCAATCAACTAGAGACTGGATAAAGATGTGGTTTTTTTATAAAATGGAGTACTACTCAGCCATAAAGAATGAGAAACTAGAGACATTTATAGCTAAATGGATACATATTGAGGACACACTCTTAAGTGAAATTAATCAAATAGTTTCTCTGGTGTGATAAACTGAAAGTGTGAATAAGTAAAAAAAAAAGTAAACTTGAGTACTATGATGTATAAATAACAACCACCTAATCTGTAGGCTGTAATTAAAGTGATATCCAGTTTTAGACTCTATGACTTAGACACATGTGAGGACCTTGGAGAGATTTCAGAATAAAGATAAAAGGATTAAAATTATGATTCAAATGAAGAAAAACTAGGATTGTTATTATATCTAAGAAGAGATATGTTCTCAAGGCTATGAAGAAAAATTCAATTCACTGACCAGCTAGTATGCATTTCCACAGCAGAATGTAATTTTACTTGTCATTACAGCATGTATTTCAACATCGAAGTGTCTTACCTAGGATACCTATCAAACAAAAACTCCAGAGAATCCTGAATTTTGTTCACCTCTCCCACCTTTACTAGCTCAACTCCATCTCAAAGAATGGGTCAAAAGGTAGATAAGACATCTTTGGAATGTGAAAATTTAGACTACTTTTAGGTCTAGCTCTGTTGAAAATTTGTTATTGGACTCTTTCTCCCAGATCCCAGTGTAAGGTTGAGGCCTTTCTGTGCTATGGAGAAAGGGGATTCAAAAGTAGTAAACACCCAGATACATAGCATAGGTAAACTTAAATTCTTAGGAAACTATACTTCGCTTCACTGTGGAGAGATAAGAGGGCTTGGATTTAGGGTTTACTGCAGGACCTGGTTACTATGCTAAAATCACCAATTCAACTCCAAAGAGAGATGATTTACCTGATGTGACATTTAAAACAGAAAAAAGAAAAATACTGGACAATTAACCAGATATGCCCGAACCTGTCATTTTACTTTGTCTCCAGCATTTGTTTTCTTATATAGAAATCTCTTGAACTAAAGTCTAAGGTCTATGACGAAATAAATTTAATCATATTTTATTTGTACCACAACTATATGTCACTCCCAACCCAGCTTTCTGCAAAGAGCTGGGTACACAGACGACTATTAAACACTTGTTAAATTAACATTGTATGTCCAAGGTTCTGTTAATATTTTATTTTACAGCTGCTTTTTCTAGCTCCTCACCAGTTTATTCTTTAATACTGATGCCTACATCTCTTTATTTTTCCTTTTATCAGACACAAAGGCCTATCCTTATCCTCTCAAATATATTCAGTCATCTCATTCTTCAATCAACAAAAATCTCTTAACCTTCTTAACTCAGTTCCCACTCTTCTATTTAGAATCAAACTGCAAAGTTACCTTAATTTCATGTTTTGAACACATCATTTTCTATATCTTCTTTCTATGTTGAACTACATTAAAACTAGCTCAATTTTCCAGATTACAAGACTACTACCTCCTGGGCCAGAGATTTAGCTCACTGGTTCTGCTGCCTGCCTCACAAGTGCAAGGTCCCAAGTTCAACCCCCAGTACAAAAAAAAAAAAAAAGACTACTATCTCCCTCATTCCAACCCTTCTCAGAACCCACTCTGAATATAAAACTATTTGAGAATGCATTTGTCACATGAAAATATCCACCCACCAAAAGTTCTCATAGTTCACCCACCTTTATCCCCGAATCAAATCTACAGTGCTTGAAAGATAATAACAAAGTGTCAATTGAGGTGAAAAGCATATGAAACAAATAGTGCTTGTTAGTGGTGTGTGGGTGTGCCAGAGGATGATGAGTACATGCCTATATGTGCTTATGTATGTGCGTGTGTATATACAGAACATATATACACACACACATATATAATATAAACATATTCTATGCCACAAGCTTAAAAATTAAATCTGCTAAATCTGATCCAAACCACAGATATTGTACTTATGGCTACTTCCTGAAAACAGATACATTATCTCTATGACAAAGTCAGTTGCAAGCTGCAAGGAAGGATAAGTAAATATTGCTACAGGTGGTTAACATTCTTTTTTAAAATGTATACGCAAAACTTATCACCTGAAGACACTGACCATGTTGTATAACTTCTGCACAATGCCCCTAGCATAGTCTAGAAACAAGAAATACAAAATTTACAATTAAGGAAGAAAACAGAGGCTTGCTTCACAGTGGTTTAATATGAACAGATTCGAATATGACATTTCCTGACAGAAGAATGAACAGTTTGATGAATAACAGCCCCGAATCAGGATATATACACAGCAGAAATGGGGCCTCAGACTCTCAGCACTTGTGCACAATGAAAAAAGAAATCTTAAAAAAAAAGGATATAACAGAGGATATAAATCAAAAAGGCAGCAACATTACCAACATTGGCAAGGTGAGAAAGGGAGCTCAGCAGCTACAGAGTTCATCTGTCTCAAGGAATGTCAACATTTAGATGGGCTCCATTCATGTCAAAATTTAATCCTAACCTCTTTGACCAGGGTCATGTCAGAATCAGCAATCCTTTCCCCAATGCCCTGTATAGAAAATTCTAATCCTTTCATGATCGGGAGTCTAAGCAAAGGGCCCCAACTTTCGCTGAGCACCAGAGTTAACTTGTTCTCATCACACCACTTGGGAGAGACAGTGGACCCCAGCAAAAAAAAAAGAAAACACTTCCCTCTAGACAAAAGCTCAGGACAGTTGTCAGCCACAAGAAGCTACTCTAGACTCCAAAATTTAGGAAATCCATACCCAGCTGCTAGTCCTGGGGAGAATGCTGGCATTCCATGGGAAACAAGTGCAGGCAGTTCAATAACCCCGTGACCAAGCTAGGGAGGGCAGTGACAACCCCTGCTCCTGAGCCCCATTCAACAGCTCAAAGTGCTTAAGAGAAATCAGAAACTGTGGTTGGTTTGTGTGCTTCTGCCCTTGGGGCAACACTAAATGGGATGGGGAAGGGAAAATAAAAGAAAGAAAGTGGTAATGTTCTTCCCTACAACCTGCAGAAACCTAGGATACGACCAACTGCCACCATTCAAGGAGTGACTTGGCAGTGGTGAGTTAGCCCCATCCTTAAGCCACCAAGCCTGCAAAGCTAACTCATAAAGTAGCAAGGGCTTGAAGGAGGAGAACTGCCAGCCCACACTGACCCACCTTCTGGTAAGCAAAAGTAGGCAGCCAGAGTAGAGAGCCACAGAGAAAGCGGGGCTAGGCAACAGGAGCTCCCCTACTCCCTATAGCTTTCTTCTGACTCTGTAGCAGCCATGAAGATGGGCCCAGAAAACCCACACTTTGCTATACATAACAGACTGCTTAGACTCTAGGAGGATTACTGCCATGGAAAGTGACAAGGGAGAGAGAAAATGATAAAAGAAACTGCTGAGAAAACTGGGAACAGGCCTAGAGAAAAGATGGAGAGCTTTTGATCGCTACCACCTTCCCCAAAAAGAAAAGGTTCATGCAGGTAGGAAAGGCAGGGTTTTTCCCTGCTCAGTGTTCCTGGTTAAACCTAAGAAAAAGGAAAATCCCCTGGACTTGCAGCATTGGTATGTGTCCAAGTATCACCAGCACGAGCCCCGCCCCACCCCCAGTTTGCCTTGGCAAGAGTAAATGCCCAAGAAATTGCCTTCCAGTCTAACCTCCACCCACCCACCCACCCCCAAGCAAAGGGCATCTGCCTGTGATTTCCCACTTCTCCTCAGAGAAGATCCTTGCAGAATACCCACAAGGTGTAGTCAGGAGGTACCAAGGGGTACAATGCCAGACAGTTTATCAGGCCAGGAGATGGGCAGCCAACTTCAGATCAAAGAGAGAGAGAGAGGCTTAGTGTAAAAACCAATGTCATCTCAGCAGGAAAGTAGAGGAGCAGGTGGTGAGAGGGGCTCCTACTGGCGCACCTTCCCAGGGACGTAGTTCCTGTCAATTGCCTCCTCCTGCAGGAACATGTGTAGGCAGCGTTCATTCTGAGCCAGAGGGTGCCCAGCAATTCTACAAAGAGACCAAAATGGTTATCAGTAGTGTTGGGGATCACAGAGAATTAGCAGAGGGAGGAGAGTGTACACTGGGGAGGAAGGACAAGCTTAGCCTTAAGGTTCGCACCACTGGAGAACGGTAGTAGGGTACCACCTTGACCCTAATGTTGCAGAAGGAAAGGGGGGCAGAATGCAAGGCAGGTAAATCTCAAGATGCAACCATTAATATACAGTGTTCTTTCAGGCCCTGATACACAGGATCAGAATTCTGCTCGAATGGAGTTTTACTGTATAGTCAGCCTACTACACAAGCAGTACCACATCATAGTACCCCTTACAAAAAGACAAAGTCGGACAAAACATACAGAAGGGCCATACTGGCAAAAGTAGCAAGCAGAGCTCCCAGGAACTTGGCTTGGCTTACTTGTTAATAAACTGCTCGAGGCCCTGCCTCCTTTCTTCAATGAAAGATTCTTCAAAGATCCCTTCATCTCCTCGAAAAGGGAGCTGCCGCTTCAAGGCTTTTCCAGGCAGTGGTGGTACTACAATCTGCAAGAAGAAGCAATATATCAACCCCAAGGGAGAAGGAAAGAGAGGAAGTAAGATGGTAAAGTACCATATACTTCATTTCTTACTAGGCATAGGATCCATCCTATCTCAAGGCCAGTAATTTGCAAAAACTAAAACCAAGTGGTGTGATGGCACAGTCTGCAATCCCAGTACTGGAAGAGGGATTAAGGAAGGAAGATCAAAGAGTTTGAGGCCAGCCTGGGCTACAGAGCCAGATCCTGTCTCAAATATAACAAAAAAGATAAGACCGTAAGAACAGTCAGAATGACTCAGATTGTTTCACCTCTGTTTTTGTGGGTAGGCAGGTTTACTATCTCAAAGGAAAGAAAATGGGGCTGGGGATTTAGCTCAGTGGTTCTGCCACCCGCCTCACAAGCACAAGGATCCAAGTTCGATCTCTGGTACCAAAAAAAAAAAAAAAAAAAAAAAAAAAAAAAAAAAAACAATGAGTTACAAGTAATTATCATTTTCAGTAATAATCCACCACCCAAGAACTTAGCTAGGTCTTTCTTATCATTATAGTTTTCATTTCTAGCACCTATAAGAGTTAAGTCAGCCATGGATTTAGCTCAGTGGTGTTACCACCTGCCTCGCAATCACAAGGTCCTGAGTTTGATCCCCGTACCAAAAAAAAAGACATATGACTTTGCTAGCCACTAAGTGAAGTAATACTTTTTTTAAAAATTGCCCTATAGGGACTGAGGATTTAGCTCAGTGGTTCTGCCACCTGCTTTACAAGCACAAGGACCAGAATTTGATCCCTGGTACTAAAAAAAAAAAAATTGCCCTACAACCACAAAATTGCCAGCATTTGTTGTTTATGCTAGTGAGGTAGTGGGGGAAAATGAACCTTTCTACATTGTTAGTGTGAATGTAAACTACTACAAGCACTATGGAAATCAGTATGAAGATTCCTAAAAAAAAAAAAAAAAACAACTAAAAATAGAAATTCCATTCAAACCAGCTACATCTCTCTAGATATCTTCCCAAAAGTTAAAATCACCATATTATAGTGATACGTTCATACCCATATTTATAGCAGCACAATTCACAATAGCTAAGTCATGGAAGTGGACTATATGTCCATCAACAGATACGTGAGTACTATTCACCTATAAAGAAGGATACTATTTGTAGGAAAATGGAGAATCTTGAAACCATAACATTAAGTTAAATAAATCAAAGACAAAATGTTAAACATCACACAATTTCTTTAATATGACAAACTCGAAATACAAATCATTTAAAGAGCAAAATAAAAGAGACTGAGCTGGTCATGGTGGGGCACACCTGAAATCCCAGCACTCCGGAGGCTGAGGCAGGAGGATTGCTGCAAGTTAAGAGGTCAGCCTGGGCTATATAATCTAATGAGATTCTCTCAAGAGACGGGGGGGGGGAGAGAAGAGGAAACAGGAAAGTAGACTCTGTGAAGATGGGAAGGGAGGGGGTCAGAAGGGGAAAGGGGGAATAAAACTGATCAAAATGGGTTATATACATGTACCAATTCCCCAAGATGAATGAATTATGCATCACAAACATACTAATAAAAACATTGCCCTAAACTTAACCTCTTTCAAGTTTCAAATTACATTCCCAGATCCAAAATATTAGTATTTGGCAGATAACAGTGGGTTCACTTTCTCCATTCCCTTTCAAGATTTTACAGTGCAGCCAGACACGGTGCACACCTGTAATCCCAGTACTCAGGAGACTGAGGCAGGAGGATCGCTGTGAGTTCGAGACCAGCCTGGGCTACATAGTGAGTTCCAGGTCAGTCTCAACTACATAGTGAGACCCTGGCTCAAAAAAACAACAACAAAAAAAGATTTTACAGAACATGATCTTATACCCTCTCAACCTATGTAGATCTCTTCTTCCAAGGGTGCCACATAGGGCATGAGACATACCTTACTATCTCGCTCCAGCTCATTTTTCAGCCATTCAAAGTCACTGTAGCGCCTCCGTACACAGGATTCTTTCAGCTTGAAGATAGGTAGGTTTGTCTACATGGAATACATGGAAGAAAGAACAAAAGAGAGATGGTATGCTGGCTACCTGTCACAACCACTGGGCAGATCCAATAGCTCTTATGAACCACATACCTATAACCCCTTCAAACCACCATCAGGTGACTATTAACCATTACTATATCCAACCATGTTACAGTTGGAGCCAGGGGCGTAGCTCAGTGGTACAGTACTTACCTAGCACACACAAGGCTCTGGATTCCATTCCTAACAATGCAAAAAAAAAAAAAAAGTCCCTCGTTGCTTAGAATTTAACCTACAAATAGACCTGCAGCTGTATGTAAATACACAGACACACACACAGACACACACACACACATAAGTTTTCACCGCATTTTATTATTTGTAACAATAATGTCCATCAAGAGGGAACTGGTTAAATAAATTATGGTATACCTCTATAGTGGGAAACTATACAACTAAGACAAAAATGTGAAAGATCTATTATGTGCCAGTATGGAAAGATATTAACTGTTAAAATCAAGGTACAGAAGGGGAGGCTTGCCTCTTTTTGTATTTAAAAAGGGATATATATTATAATATATATATGCATTCATTAAAACATACTAGTCATAGAAATTACCCCTGGAGAGTAAGACCAGACAACTAGAAAGGGCAGAAATAATACTGTTTATTGTACAATTTATCACATGCACATATTACATTTTCCATTAAAAAGTGAACTGAAGGGCCGGGGATTTAGCTCAGTGGTTCTGCTGCCTGCCTCGCAAGCATAAGGATCCAAGTTCAATCCCCAGTACCATAAAAAAAAGTGAACTGAAATTCCCTGCAAAAATAAGAGGTAAATCAGATGCAGTGGTACACTGGGAGGCTGAGAAGGGAGGACTACAAATTCAAACCCAGCCTGGGCAATTTAATAACTTAGTGAGACCCTGCCTCAAAATAAAAAATAAAAATGGTCTGGGGATGTAGCTCAGTACACAAGCCTTGGGTTCAATCCCTATTATTGCAAAAAATAAAAATAAAAAAGAAAGTGAGTTATTGCCAAGGTATGCTTCCCTCTGCTTATTTTTTTAAGGGGAAGAGGTTTATTTGGCTTACAGTTCATAGAGGTCTCAGTCTATAATCAGCTGGCTCCAAGGCAGGGTGGCAGAGGGGAACAGTTCATGGTGGCAAAACCAGCAAAAGCAACAAGAGGATCCCTCTGCTTTTCTATTCAGATTGTTTCTGTGCTATAAACCCCAGCTCAATCTCAATTCACTCAGGAATTCTTCTTTTTTCTTTTTGATACCAGGGATCAAACTCAGGGCCTTGCACTTGCAAGGCAGACGCACCACTGAGCTAAATCCCCAGCCCAGGAAATCTTTGACAATACCAGCTGAATACATTGATATCCTTCCACTCTGAACTTCCCTGACATTTACACTTTCCTATCCCTGTTACCCACTGTTATTTTATATACCATGTTTGGCTTGTCTACCTAAATTATGATCTCATAAACATCAGCAATCATGCCAGGCACAGTGGTGCAAGCCTGTAAACCCAGCACTGTGGGAGGCTAAGGCAGGATAATCACAAGCTCAAGGCCAGCCTGGGCAACTGTAGTAAGACTCTGCCTCAAAATAAAAAACAAAAAGGGTTGGGGATGTAGCTCAGTGGTAGAGTGCCCCTGAGTGCTATGTCCAGTACCTCAAAAAAATGATCATGGAACCATGACTACTTCATCTCCCAAAATATGTTACTCAATAAATATTCAATTGATCAAGAAAAACCCCATGTATGTATGTATCTGTTTATCCTTCCCTTACTTAGAAAATGCAGGATAGCCATTACATAAATTGGCTTACCACACCTTGCTCCTTGATATAAATTGGCTCATTCCCACATAGTAATCATTGGAAAGACTCCCCAGGTTCTAGAGGCAACAGAAACCCCTAACAAACAAAAAGCCCTAATCTTATTCCCATCGACGGGTTCTAAATAAAAATGGCCAACCACATGCATTAATCATGACCATATTTACTTCTCACCAAATCAAATCAGTGGGTGAGTAATAAAAGGAACTTTTCCTTTCTCCATAACCCTCTTGGCAAGAAAAGAGTATCTTGGAGCTCTGCTAGACTTTCACAATGTGAAGTCACCAAGAAACCTCTCCAGATCCCCATGAGGACAGGATTCCTTAATGAACAAAATGAAACAAGAGCTTCAGCAATAATTATTATATGGGACTGAGAGTACAGGTCCATGATAAAGCATGTGCTTAGCACATTCAAGGCCTGGTGTTCAATCTTCAACACCAGTAAAAACATCTTTTAATAAACACAAACATTAGAGACAAATATGGAGGCACACGCTTATGATCCCAGCACTCAGGAGGCTGAGGCAGGAGAATCACTGTGAGTTTGAGGCAAGCCTGAACTATATAGTGAGACCCTATCTCAAAAAATAATAACAACATTGGCTGGGGATTCAGCTCAGTGGCGCCACGCCTGCCTCACAAAGGCAAAGTCCTGAATTTGACACCTGGTAGTGGAAAAATAATAATAATAGCCCTGTGTGGTGGCACATGACTGTAATTCCAGCACTTGGGAGGCTGAGGCAGGAAGATTGCTCCAAGTTTGAGGCCAGCCTGGGCAACACAGTGAGTTCAAGACTGGCCTAAACTACTTAGCAAGACCCTGTTTCAAAAAACAATAAAAAATAAAGAAATACACTTTTACCAACCTCTCCCCAAAATGGAGTTCAATAAAAATATTAAAACTTTAGCCAGGCATGGCACTGCATGCCTATAGGCCCACTACTTGTGAGAGGGGCAGGAGTGAGACCAATCTGGACAACGTAACAAGACCCTGTCTCAAAAAAAAAAAAAGGGTTGGGGATACAGCTTCATTGTGAGGCCCTGGGTTCAATCTACAGTACCGAAAAAAAAGCCTACACAGCCATACAAATTAAACACAAACAACACAAATTAACTCAAACCCATTGAACAGGAACCATCATCAACTCTATATAATTGTTACACATTTGTGGAAGGAACTGATGAAAAACTTGGCAGGAAAATTTTAAGCCTTGCCAGAGACTATAGTGAAAAGAGCATGGGCTTTGAGGTCAGGTTGACTTTGATTCAAATCCCAGCCCTGTCAGTTACAGTTAGATATACTTGGACAAGTTACTTAAACTGTATTTTTTCCTCAGCTTACCATTTGTAAAATGGGTTTTTTGTAAGAATAAAGATAGGCACTAGAATCTAGTTCAATGCCTGTAACAAAAAGGCACAAGATTAACAGTACCTGTTATTAGAATACCTGAAGTAGGGAGCTATTACATTCATAATTCCTAAGACTCCTAGGTAATACATTAAGACAAACAATGTCTCCAAACAACCACAACAGAGTCTATACTGAACAAGTTATGCCTAGGCTCCCTCAGTCATTAAATTATCCAGCAATAACAATTCTTTTTTATCATTTCTTTTTTACTTGTTGTGGTGCTAGAGATCAAACCCAGGGCCTTAGGCATGTTATGCACTGCACCACTGAGCTACACCCCTAGCTTTTTATATTTTGAAATACATAAATTCCACTCAAAGAAATGACTTCAAATAGTTCTTATCTACACAAGTATTGTCAGATATAGCGGCACATGCCTGTAGTCCCAGCACTCTAGGAGGCTAAGGCTGGAGGGCTGTAAGTTAGAGCCTAGCCTGGGCAACTTGGCAAGACCCTGTCTCAAAATAAAAATAAGAAAAGGGGCTAGGGATGTGAGGATGTAACGCAGTGCAAAGGTTCTGGGTTCAATCCCAGTACCAAGAAAAAAAGAGGGGGGGAGGAAGGGAGAAAGGGAGGAAGGGAGGGAGAGAGAAAGAGAAATACACACACACAAATATTGGGCTGGGGGTGTAGCTCAGTGGTAAAGTGCATGCATAACATGTGTGAGGCCCTGGATTCAATCCCCAGTACTGCCAAAAAAGTGCTTCTTATGTTTTTCATTTTTCTTTCTTTTGGAGATAATTTGTCAATGAGATCTCAGTGGCCACGTAGGAGACCACACTTTCTCATTCAATTCATACACTCTTTTAGGTTTTCAAAGCTGTTTAAGCAGGATGCTATCCATAAGGAATATTCTGGCTCTCTAGTCTGAGAAGAAAACTAGGAAAGGATTCTTAAAGTTTTTTTTTAACCTATAACCACTTTGAACAAAAGAATCTGCAAACCATGTACTCTATCTGCACATTCCATTCTTGCACTCTGGACTAAACACTACAGAATAAAGTCCTCTGTGGTGAACACTGGAAGAAACCACTCCTGAGGCAGTCCTTTCTGAAATGTCATGCATTAAGGTAACTACAGACCAGGGTAGGAATCCAAAAGGTTAATGTAGGACAGAAAGGACAAATAGCCACTCATACACAGAACCCAAATGATAGCCAATAAATATTGAAGTAAACACTGTATATTTCAAACCTAAAAGATCTGCTCTGAATGAGAGCAGCAACTGACAATCCACCAATCCCAGTGCAGAACCAGGTTTCAAGGGGAGACACAGCATGTGGTACCTGAGAAAACTTAAACATAAAACATTTCTCTCCTTCAGGTGTTAACCCTAGCCAAATCAGGAAAGCATTCAGTCTCCGAGACTCCCTTTCCATTTCTGCTACCACAAGCCCACCATCTCTCTTTCCTGGAGTCTATTTTGCCTTTAATCCAAGGTTTTGCTTGACTATCATCTCAGGGAGGCCTGATTAGGAAGAAGCCCCACCTTCCTGCCCTCCCTTTTCAGACTGACTTCCCACAACCTAGCTCAGTTATGGGACTCAGCGATCTATGCCTTGGCTTTCCATCCCCCAGCCCTCTTCCACCCTCCCTTTTCTTCTTTCGTCAGTCAGTCATGATTCCTATCTACCTGAATTCCTCACTCTAATCTTTTTCCATCTTCCCCACCCTATCCAGCCGTGCTTCACTTCTTCCTCGTGGGTACTTATTCGCCCTCACCCTCATCCGATGTCCCCCTCAGGAGTTTTCTGTATCCTGGGGCCACAACCGGATCTGCAGACCTCTCTCTAAACCTATTAAGCCCCTAACCCCTAAAAGACCCCTTCAAGCGTCTTTTCCTCACTCTAATCTTTTTCCATCTTCCCCACCCTATCCAGCCGTGCTTCACTTCTTCCTCGTGGGTACTTATTCGCCCTCACCCTCATCCGATGTCCCCCTCAGGAGTTTTCTGTATCCTGGGGCCACAACCGGATCTGCAGACCTCTCTCTAAACCTATTAAGCCCCTAACCCCTAAAAGACCCCTTCAAGCGTCTTTTCGATAGGTGGTGAAGCGCGCGCGGCCCACGCCCACCGTTTGTGGATTAAAGATGTCGATCTCCAGGAAGTTACTTGGCGGCCCGTATGCGTCGGTCAGGTCCTGCGGCTTCGAGTTAAGGCGCCGAGTGTCGGCTACTGCCGTGTCCGACATCTTTACGAAGGAGAGACCCGGACCGGGGAAGGGGGTGGGGGACAGAGGCCGAGGCAGGAGCGCGCACGGC